TAACTAATAATATAGCAAAATATTGATAAATATAAATCACACAAATAAAAGCACTTTGAGGCCCTCAATAATTTTTTAATATACAGGGGTTCTGAGTTTAAAAAGTTTGTGAACCACACTGCTCTACACCAATCCTAACCCTGCAAACCAATCCTATATGTCCAACCTTAACTATGTCTGAAATACAAACCTGCCCATGGCATACCCTCATCAAAACCCTTCCATGAAATGTCCACCCACAGGAGAATGGATAAATGGTGGTATAATCACAACGGATTACCAGAAAACAATTAAAATGAATGAACTACAGCTATAGGTATCAACATGGATCTTACAATCATGATGTTGAGAAACAAAAGTGAGATGAGAAGAATACATCCAATATGATTTCATTTATGTAACACTTGAAAACATGTAAAACAATACCATTTATTCAGTGAGGCATACCTATGTAACAAAAGCATGAAAATGCATGAGAATAATAAATGCAAAGCTCAGGACAACAATTAGCTCTGAGAGAGAAGAATGGAAAAATAATTGAGGAAGGGTACACAGGAGGCTTCAAAATATATATGTAATATTTCATATTCTTAGTTGAATAAGGAACATGAATACTCATTATATTATTATTTATATCTTTTGCTACATCTGAAATGTTTCATTGGAAATTAACAAACTTTCAATGGTCTCCAATAGCCTCTATGTTAAGTTCAAGTATCTTGGTTGTACAAATTTCAGCCTACATAGTTTTTAGCTTTGTCTCCACCCAGCCCTTGGCTTTAGGTTCTAGCACATACATAAACTGCTTCATACAGCCTTACTTTGCTTATGCCTTTCCTTATGTCTGAAATACCTTTCTTCCCTTTTTTCCTTGTTCAGTGCCCACTCACCCTTCGGGTATCACTCTTCTGGGAAGATTTTCACAAACTCTGGCTAGATTAAGTTCTCTCAACTGTTCTTCACAACTTCTGGTGAATACTACTATTGTGGCTATTAGAATATTATATTGACATGACTTTTAATGATCTTTATGTCCCCAACACTTAGACCAATGCTAGGATGCATAGCAGATACACAATGTTTTTGAAACTAAGTAGATTACACAGTTTGTGGGCCTTCCTACCAAGATGCAAATTAATCTCACTTGAACCTATGGTAAGCAAATTCAATTCACCAAACAGTTACTAAGTGCCTGTGGAAAAGGCACTATGCTAGATCTAGCAAAGGATTCAAAGATGGGCAAATAAATATCTTATACTTTTATAGAAAACTATTAAACAGAAAAGTAGAGTGAAGGTGTGTGGGGCTGGGGAGGGTGCTGACTTGCCTCAGCATACACTAAACATTCTATAAAACCAATGAAATCAAATTAGTATGATATTGATAAATGAATAAACAGACTTGTGCAAAAGAATAGAAAATCCAGAATTAGATTTCAATATACACATGAAATCAGTATACTGCAATGGTTGCAGTTCAATTAGAATGAATTATAGTATAGAATAAATGGCTATCAATCTGGAAAAAAATAAAATATAAGATCTGAAATAAAGGACATAATGGATGGACTCAGCGGAAGACTAGAAATGACAGAGAAAAGAATGAGAGAAATTGGAAACAGAACAGTAGAAATTATCCAATCTGAACAACAGTGAGAAAATAGACTTAAAAAAAATTAACTCAGGGATCTGTGAGCCTAGAACAAAATACATAACATTCATATAATCAGAGATAAAGAAGAAAATGATATAGGGCTTAAAAAGTATTCAAATAAGTAATGGCTGGAAATTTCCCAAATATGTAAAAAAAATAATAATAATAAATAAATAAACATTCAAGAAGCTGACCAAGCCAAAATAATATAAAGAAATTCATGACAAGACACATCAGGCCAACTGCTAAAAAATTAAGAAAATGAAAAAAATATGGAAAAGTACCATAAAACGATAAATTATTTATACATTAAAAACAATTCAAATGACAACAAAAATCTCATCAGAAACCATGGAGGCCAGAAAGGAAATGCCACAATCATTTCCAAGTGCTGAAAGAAAAGAAAGAATTATCACACCAAAATTCTATATCCAGCAAAAACATCCTTCAGGAATGAAGAAAAAAATCAAGATGCTCTCAGATCTCTAAGAGAACCTGTTGCCTGCAGGTCTATGCTAAAAGAATGGATAAAAGGAAGCTTTCTAAATAGAAAGGAAATGGGGAAAAAAAGGAATCTCAAAACATTAACACGGAAGAAAGAACAGCAGAAGGGTAAAAATATGGGCAAATACAATAGATTTTTCTTCTCCTCTTGAGTTTTCTAAAGTACGTTTGATGGTTGAAGCAAAAATTATTGTGTGATGTGGCTCTCAATATATAGAAAGGAAATATTAAAGACATATAGAGGTAAACTTTCAACATTTCCTTCAAACTGGTAAAAAGTCAATACCAATCAACTATGATAAGCTATGGAACTTTAAAGTAATAACTAGAGCAACCACTTAAAAAACCTATACAAGAAAGCTAAACATAAAATTCAAGGGGCTCAGAAGTGCCAAAATAACCTTAAAAAAGAAAACCTAAGAGAGAACTGACATTTTCAAATTTCAAAGTTTACTACAAAGGTATGATAATAGAAATACTGTGATTACTGTCGACAGTAAGGATAAACATACTGACCAGTGGAATAGAACTATAAATTAAGAAATAAATCCATATGTCTATGCTCAAATGATCTTTGTCAACTGACCAATTCAATTTAAGATAATTAACAAGAGAAATAACAGTCTCTTCAATAAATGGTGCTGAGACAAGGATATCCACATTCAAAAGAATGAAGTTCAATCTATACTTCACACCATATACAAATACTAACTTGAATGAAATATCTAAATGTATATTCTAAAACTGTAAAACTTTTAGAATGAAACAAAGGTGTAGATCTTTGTAGCCTTGGATTAGACAATGGTCTCTGAGATACAACACCAGAAGTAAAAGGAATCAGAAAATAATCGATAAATTGTTGTTGTTATGCACTGTCGAGTCAAACCTGACTTATAGCGACCCCTCCTTGGGTTTCCGAGGCAGTATCACTACGGAAGTAGATTGCCCCACCTTCCTTCAGAGAAGTGGCTAATGGGTGTGAACCACCAGCCTTCTGGTTGGCAGTCAAGTGCCTTAGACACTACGTTACCTGAGCTCTTACAGATAAATTAGACATATGAAAATTGGTAACTTTTATCCTTCTTAGGACAGTATTAAGAAAGTGAAAAGATAATCTGCAGAATGAGAGTAAATACTTGCAAACTATGTATCACTTAAGTGTCTAATATACAGAATATATAAAGAATTCTTACAGGAGCAGGTCTTAAGATGGTGACTTAGGCACATCATGCCATCTCTCTACAACAAAAATCTGAAAAACCAAGGGAAACAGGTACAGATGATAATCCTGAAAGCCTGAGCACAAACCGAAACAATAAAAAAAGCACCAAGTAGATAAAGAAACTGAACAAAAACAAAAAACGAGGAGAGATGTAGAGTGGTGTTGCCCTGCCCACCAGCCTGGCACAGTGTGGCCTTCTTGAGACAAAGCAAACAGCGATCCCAGGTGAAAAGTGCAGGAAGGCAACTTCACAGAATCCCTAATAGGACAGAGACACAGTGTAGACAAATTCTGAGCGAAGCAAGGTGAGCAGAACATGAACCAGATTTAAGGAAGGAAAGTGGGTGAGAGCTCTAGGGACTTAAAAAATTATGGAGCAGGCAGGAAGCCAGAAAACAGAGATATAACTACTCATCAGCAGTGGTTTTTGGTAGTTTAGATTGAAGACCCATGTGAAAAGAGGGTTTGTGGAGTAGCAGCTGGAGACTCTGAACTCTGGACAGTCCCCACCCCCTCACATTGGGTCGAGGCAGAACCTGATACCTGAGTGCACTCC